ACTGCATATTTAGTTGGGGTGAAGGGGAATGACTAGTAGGAGATATGCAGGAAGAGGCGAAACTAATACTAAATCCTACTGGCTCCCCACTACCTGCCAACCCTTGAAAATACTGCCACTGCTACCTAGCCGGTGTTAGCTCCCATAGAGAGTCCTGTGAATCCACATTTCATTTCTGTTGCTTAAGCTAGCGGAGAAACACACACTGTGGTAAGAAAAATATATATACCTCACCTTGGCTTAGGAGCTCTGGTGACGTAGTGGTTATGAGTTGGGCTGCTAGTTTCAAGGTCTGTAGTTCAAAACCACCAGCTGTTCAGAGAGAAAAAAAAACCTTGCTTTCTACTTCTATAAAGAAATATATTCTTGGAAACTCACCAGGGCAGTTCTGCACTGTTCTATGGGCTGACTATGACTCGACACCAACTTTGTGGCAGTGGGTTTTTGAGAGCGTCTCGCTCGTCTTAGAGGAAGACAGGCTGATGTAAGGCGGACGGGGCAGGACTTCTTTATGGAAGGGGTAATTTTAAGGGATAAAGCCTTAGTCCATGAGTAGGGCTCAACCAAGTAAGAAGAGAAATACTGGCTTATGGTATCCTTTTATTTTGGATAATATTTTGGTCAATGCAATCAAAGAAAGTTGTGTTAACATCCATGTGTTGGCTACTCAGGAAAAAGAAGGCATCTCTTATCTCATGCTTACCCTCTTCTGCATAAACCAAGGTGCCTACAGGTAGGTACAGGGAGATTGCCATTTAATCAGTATTACCTTGCCCAGGTCTGTTAGAAGAATTTACATAGACTACTGTCTATGGTGAAAAAGGAAAATAGCGTATGGACTTTAATAACTCCCTGTTTATACATTGGCATTGTTTAAGTTTAACTGATTTACTTACCTTTTACCTGGTGAAACATGCTTGTTTTTTGTGTGTGTACCTACCACACAGTGAAATACCTGGGCATGCTCAGCACTTAATGAATGGTTTTCAAATGAATTAAATGAAAGATATCCATGATGGTGACACCAGACCATTTGCAGGAATAATTAAATTCCTTTGAGATTCTCAACCATTCATTTCCATCCTGACCACTGTGCTCAGACTCTAGTAATGACTTTCGAGGACGACTTTCAACCCTTACCCTTTCTTCTTTAAGTCTCAATGTTGTTCATTGGTACCTTGAGTGATAACTGCTTTCATATGGAAACTTTATTTTTTTTAATATGGTAACTTTTAATGCTTAAAAGAATACTTTGAGCCTCTGTTAAGTTTTTTTTAGTACATTCACTTTTCCTCCCAACAATATCAGTTAAAGCACAATTCGAGACATAAAATGAAGTATTCATGGTAGAACTGATGACCAAAATATGAGGAAAAGTCAAAAAGTACCCCTCTCCCCAACCCAGGTTTCTGTTTAATTCTTGAATGGGTTTATTCCAAACAAAGCATGTTTAAACACATCACTACTGTAATTAGGTATCTGTTGACAACTTCTGTAAGCAATACTATTGTCTTAGTCTTATACAGATCCAGTCGAAACAGGGACTTCCACGGGGATCTACGGCACGAGTTAAATTCAAGGCAGACTCATCTCAAGAGTACATCAATCATTGCCACCAGTTCCCTCTTTCTCCCCTCATCTTCCCCTCCTTCCCCTCATGGTATCGCTACTCCCATTACTGTTCCTGAGGGGTTTATGTGTCCTGGATTCTGTGTGTTCAGAGCTCTGATCTGTACCAGTGTACATGCTCTGGTCTAGCCAGATTTGAAAGGTAGAACTGGGGTCATGATAGTTGCGGGGAGGAAGCATTAAAGAACGAGAGGAAAGTCATATGTTTCATCAGTGCTATACTGCACCCTGGCCGGCTTATTAGGAAGAAGTTTTAAGAAAATTGCATGTGAGAGAAAAATGTCAGGGGAGTTTTTTCCATCCCAGTAATATACTTGTTCATTCTTCAAGGGAAGCAAGGGCTGTCTTATGAGAATTTTGTTGATAAGCCTTAACCCAGTCACCCCACAGCCCTGATCTTGCCCCTGCAGACTTCTTCTTCCTCAAATGCAAAGGACATTTAAAGAAGCTTGATGTGAGTCCCATAAGGTTGCCCAAACTGCCATTTGGATGCGCTATGAATCAAAGAGCCCAGAATTTTTTCAGGGAAGGGTTAGAGAAGGAAACACAGCCTTCCGAAGTGTATGGACCGAGATGGAGATTATGTTGAGAAGCAATAGCTTCGCACGAGGATCCTTTTGTTCAATAAAGCTTTCTAGGATAGTATAACAATCCTTTACGAGGTACTCTCAGACAGGTGGCACA